TCCAAACAACAGATAAGCCGGAGTATATCCCGTGCTTGTCTGTGGAGTAGCCCGATAGGCCATCAACATTGCCGGTAACTGGGTATCCCAGTCTCGCTGCGTATCATCTACGTAGTGAGAGAGCTGGACCTCAAGGGTCTGATTAAACCGTTCAACTAACCCATCACTAGCTGGATGGTACGCCGTTGTCCGAGTTTTCCGAATACCCAATAGTGAGCAGACTTCCTTAAACAAGGTTGAGTCAAAGTTCCTGCCTTGGTCAGTATGCAACCTTTCGGGTGCCCCAAACCTAGCCACAAATTCACTCACGAAAACCGAAGCAATCGTAAGTGCGTCCATTCTCTTCAAGGGATAAGCTTCTACCCACTTAGAGAAGTAGTCAACCACAACCAATATGTGTTTGTTGCCATTCTGTGTTTCAGGTAGCCCGGGAATCAAATCCATTGCTATCCTCTCAAACGGATAACCCGCCCACGAGGATTGGAGACTAGCTCCACGGCCACGGCCAACCGGCCTGTTCTTCTCGCTACAGGACACACAGCTGGCCACCCAGTCCTGCACATCCCGTTTCATGCCATGCCAGTAAAACCGGCGGTGTAGCTGTTCATACGTTCGTCGTACGCCCGCATGTCCTGCCATGTCATGGTACTCGATGAGTACCTCAGGCCTCAATTTCGTAGGCACAAGTATTTGTAACCTACTTTCCAGGGTTTCCGCGTTTAGCCAACGTCGATACACCACTCCCTCCTTAACAAGAAAGAGTTGGCGACCTCGCCAATAAGCATGGAGCGCGGGGCTCGTCCCATTCAGGTCAGGATCCTCGGCGGATTCTGCAAGCCACTTTCCCATCTGTGAGATGTCCCCATCCTCTGATTGAGCTTGAGCCCAATTAGTGTGAGACCAGTCCCTCCTTTGCACAAACGGTGAAGGTATAACGGGAGTTGTGGCGGCAACAGCCGCCACAACTTCCGGTTTTTCCTTGCACCGAGATAGCCCATCTGCATTTGCATGCGCTCGTCCCTGACGATATTGTACGGAGAACTGAAATTCCGCTAAGAATTCTAGCCATCGTGCAATAATTGCTGGGGGATCCTTAAACCGGCCCCAATGCTGCAATGCTCTGTGATCCGTTCGGATCAAGAACTCGCGGCCCAAGAGATAGCAACGGAAGTGCTTCACTGCCCAAACCATGCCCAATAGTTCGCACTTAGTGCTGCCATATCGCCGCTCAGCGGAATTCAAAAGCCGACTAGCAAATGCTATTGGCCGTTCTTTGCCATCCTTATCCGGCTGGGAGAGCACAGCACCCAATCCAACGCCACTGGCGTCTGCATCCAACACAAATGGGGGATCCCCCGGCCCGAATCTGGGATACGCTAGCGTAGTAGCCTCAACCAGAGTTTGTCTAAGCTTGTTGAAAGCTTCCTCACATGTTGAAGTCCACTGGAAAGTGACTCCCTTATGTGTTAACGCGTGCAGGGGTTTTGCAATAGACGCATAGTCTCGCACAAACCGGCGATAATAGCCACTGAACCCTAGGAAGGTCCTGAGTTGCCCTACCGTCCGTATGGGCGGCCACTGTTCAATGTCCCGGATCTTCGCCGGGTCCGTCTGGACACCGTCAGCGGTGACCACATGCCCCAAGAAGTTTACTTTCTCCCGGAAGAGAAAGCACTTCGAAGGTTTTAGCCGCAGGTTCGCTGCCCGGAGGCGAGCAAAAATCGCCTTGAGGCGGTCCAAATGTTCCGGAAATGTACGTCCAAAAACAATGATGTCGTCTAGATAGACCAGACAAGTTTGCCATTGTAGTCCTTTAAGGACTGCACCCATCAAGCGCTGGAATGCGCTAGGTCCATTACACACACCGAAGGGCATAACCGTAAATTGGTAGTGTCCATCAGGTGTGGAAAAAGCCGTTTTTTCCTTGTCCTCTGGCTTCATAGGTAACTGATGGTACCCAGAGCATAAGTCCAACGTAGAGAAGTACTTCGCTCCCCCCAACGCATCAAGAGTATCATCCACCCGCGGAAGGGGAAACGGGTCCTTGGTCGTGCAGTCATTCAACCGCCTGTAATCTACACAAAACCGTGTAGAGCCATCCTTCTTCCCCACCAGCACGATGGGTGCCGACCAAGGGCTCGTGGAATCCTCCACGATCCCCTGATCTCGCATTTTGTCCACAATGTCTCTGGCTGTGGACCTGTTGGTCCAAGCCATACGCCGCGCCGGTTGGTAGACCGGTGCAGCCCCATTAGTTTCAATGCCATGAGCCATGACATGTGTCCGTCCGAGTTCAGTTGCGTCCAATGCAAACACGTCCCTGTGGTCTTCTACCACTGCCCGCAGCTGTTCCAACTCGGTTGGACACATGCCATCCGTACCAACATGTAGAGCCTCCCACAATTCGGCGGACGACGGTGCGTCCTCCCAGTGGTCCATGTTTGGGACAGTTTCCGTGTCATCAGCAGCCGGAAAAACCGTCTGTACAGTCTCGAAAGGACACAATGTGCCCACAGAGACATCCCTTTCAACGATCACCTGTTCGTCTGAACAGTTGATCAGACGTATTGGGACCACCCCTCCCTTCGGGGAAGTGATCGTGTACGCCGCCAAAACCCCAAACTCCTCTCCTAGGCTCGGATCAGGTTCGGTTAGGTAGCCTTGACCCGGGTTAATTCCCAGGTCGCTCGGTAAAGACGCCCATGCCACCATCTCGTGTTGAGGTGGTATTGTCACACGCTTCCGTAAGGACAGAGGTATCCGTTCTGGTTTGACGGTATGAACCGTGGCCTTGTCTGCTGAAAAATTCAGATTTTGTCCATCAGACTGTATCTTGCAGGGAATTTTCGCCAGAACATCACGTCCCAACAAACATTCTTGATGCAAATGGTTTACAATCCATATTTCGTGCAAGCACGTAGCCTGTCCAATCTCCAGTGTTACAATACTGGTTCCAACAATCTGGAGAGCATCCCCTCCAGCGCCAAATACCGGGTTATCCGGAGGAGGGAGTATATCCTCCTGCTCGATATCGAATTCGCCTAATCGTCGTGCCGCAAGCAAGCTTACTGACGCACCTGTGTCCACCAACATGTGGATTTTCCGTCCGTTAAGCAACCCTGGCACCGTCATACCTGAGGTCTCCCGTTTCCGGGAACCACCGGCGGATGGGCCTGGTTTGGGATCTGGGCAATGTGCGGCCAAGGGCTGATCCCGCGCCCCGGTCACTGTCCGTTTCCCGCCTGGTGTCGGTTTGGTGCACCACCCCGTGTTCTGTTAGAACACTCATATGCCTTATGGCCCTTCTCCCCACATGTAAAGCACGACCCCATAAATGGTCCGCGTGCTCGGTTTCCTCGGTTTTCCATGCGATCTAGCCTTTCGGCCAGTTGGTCCAGAGTACGTGACATACGACTCCAGGGTTCCTCCCGGGTTGCCGCAGCCACTAACATAGGAGGGTTATCTTCCTCCAATATCCTAGCATGACGGGGTATACCCATGTCGTGTGAATCCCACACCCTTTCGAGGTGTAGTGCCTGCTGTTCAGCCGCCTGTACGGTGACTGGAGCTAATTCTAGGAGCCTCGTTCTGAGCCTGGCCGGTGTCATGGCCTCGATGAACTGGTCGCGGACCAGTTCCTCCCTCAAGTCCTCTGTGGCTGTCGGGTAAGCCCGAGTCACCAGCTTACGTAATTCGTCCGTGACTAACGGAATGGCTTCGCCTGGGCCTCGTCTCAGAGCTCTAAACTGCGATTTATCCTTCGCAGCTTCACTTGCCGGCGCAAAGCGCTTTCCCATGTCTTCGCACAGGTGTTGCCAGTTTGACTGGCGGCCCGTCTCCATAGTGGAAAAAAATCGTGAAGGTGTCCCTCTCAGACGCACCCCCAAGAACATAGCCTTTTGCTGATCTTCCCATTGGTTGAGCTCAGCGCAAGATTTGAAGTACGCAAGGTACTCCGGCCATTCCCGGGTCACCCCGTCGAATGCCTCAGGCATAATGACGGGTTTCTCCGGACGTGGTTTTGGAGCAGGTAGGGATCTCTCCCTTCCCGCCAGAGCCTGGCTTGAAGCCTGTTGTTCTACCTGTTCACCGTCAGACATGGTCTTTCAGTAGAGTAGGTCACAACAAAAGAAAGTAGCGCCTGCAGAAGATCTGCTCAATGGTTGCCTCTCAGGTATCCCGAAGGAATGATACCCTTCTGCCCAAAAACTTGGCCTTATATCCCGCTGATCCCGTGCCACGTCCACTGACCTCGTCCGGTACGGGACGATGGGCTCGAGGTCAGCTAGGGGTACCCACGCCTGGGCCGTGCGCCGTGCACTGCGCTCCCATATCTCATGCCTTGTCCACCGTATACGCGTACGCCAATCCTTACAGCTGCTCGCCACGTGACAGTCTCTTCAGAGATATGCACGTCAACCCCTGTGCCTCTCGGTTTTCAAACGCGCCATGTCGCATTTGAAACCGTGTTGCCTCCCAATTCGTTCTCAACCGCACCATGGCGCGCCTGAAGCCGTTTAATTCCTGTGGTTTTGGACGATAAGTCCACTCGTACACGACGTCCCCCTCAACCGGGCTCAGACTCGACCAGAGTGCCTTCTCTCCAATGTGTCCAGTATACTCGTACGACGCCCCCCTCAACCGGGCTCAGGGTCGACCAGAGTTCCTTTTCCCCTACAGTTGGATGCCTAGCACACTCGTACACGACGCCCCCCTCAACCGGGCTCAGGGTCGATCATAGTGGCCTCTTTCCAAAACGATTTCAAAACGCACCGTGGCGCGCCTGAATCCGTTCAATCCCTCCATCCTTGGATGTCTAGTACACTCGTACACGACGCCCCTCTCATCTCAGGCTCGACCAGAGTGCCTTCTTTCCTAGTCTGGTACACTCGTACACGACGTTCCCCTTCAGCCGGGCTTAGACTCGCCCCGAGTGACCTGACCCGAAAGCTGCCGAGTGATCCTTTTACTTAGTGAGGATCTCCCGGCCCATTGCCTTAGTCCTGTGTGTCCTATTTCGACCAGGAGCACTGATTAGTTCAATTCCTTCCAGTTTTCTTTGGATACTTGGGTCACTCGGCGTTTCCGCTGAGTGTCCCTGAGCCTGCCGTCTCTAGGACTTGTCATCTCCCTTCCGTGCCTCCCGATACACCGTCCTAAGCCGGTACATGTAGTGTGTTTTACCCGCGTGTGTTGCAACACTTCTCACACATTACACCAGCTGGCGTTCTCGTCAGCCTGTGTGTCCTCTCTTGAATATGCTGTGTCTTAGCCTTGCCTGACTAGAGGACAGCATCTCCATTCATTTCCAGAAAGAAAAGTGAACAACGACCACTTTCATTCTAGTGACTGCATGACCATGAAGAAGTAGTTCAAACTGCAGCTCCTGATATACCACCGGTGATGGCACTGTGTAAAAATATGTTACACACCTATACCCGTTCTTACCGCTGAACCAGCGTGACTCCAGAGACCCAACCCTGTATGTCAATGTGACTGCCGATTATTTATATCCCGAACCAGCCCTCTTGCGAGTACACTACTTGTCGGTTCTAGATATATGCCCAGGTTCCTTGCTTCACGTATCAAAGGCTTATACATGCCGCCAGGTTCTGACCAAACAATCTCAAAAAAATGAGACTTCCCCACAGTGTCGGTCTTAGCCTCCATTCCTCACCATACACGCGATCAGAGCGCAGTCAGGTTTAGATAACAATACTTTTATTGAATTTATATCTGGTCCAATAAAAGTGGCCGCACATTACTGTGGCGCAGACTTGTCGGGGGTAGTCGGCAAGTCTGTAGGCAGTTCCGTGTCGGTACTCTGGTCCTTCTTCGCACTAGGAGACGCCTTGTCCTTCTTAGGCGGCTTACGTGAGTTTTTACGAGTTTTCTTTCTCGGTGGCTCTTCCGACTCCTCTGTGCGGTGACCGGCATGCCGGCCCAATATCCTGAATGATATCAACGACAGGAAGTCCAGGTCCTCCTTTAGTTTTCGCAAGTGTCGCCCTTGGTCGGGGCGACCCACGCCTTCAAACAAAGAAATCGCCCGTTCCAAGGCCTGCCTGGTTGGAGTCTCCCGCCCCTGGCCTGCTTCTTGCGAAAGGGCGTTGAACTCCTCTAGCATTTCCTGTGCCATTCTGGATAAGACAAAAAAAGCCACACCAGAAAAAGAACCGAGGATTAGTTCACATTGAGTGACGGATCCTGGTCACAGCACCAATTGTCATGACCCGACCCCAAGGGTCAGTCAAAAGCCTGCGTTGCGAACAACACCAAATAGGACCGCCACGAAGTGTGAGCAAGACCCAGAATCCCAAGTGCACAATATATGCACGCCATCACTCAACAGCCCACCAAGAGTTCCGTTTCCAAGGACATACCTTGTAGATAGGTCAGAGGTAAAGAGGAGAAAGAGGAGATCAAGATTGAAGCAGTACCGGAGCGAGAGGACGAACGTATAAAAGACAGGGACTTATATTCATAACAATAACTAACAACAACCAATCAGAGCACACATACTGTACTCACTAATCATATTAGACGGCGGGACAAGGGGACAAGTAACGGACAAAGCTAGATTCATAATGATTGAACGTCTCATAACGGCGGGATACAACATGCAAGAATGGAAGAAGATACTAGTTAATAGACTATGACAGTTGACAAGGCGCGAGATTATGCAGCATCGTAGTAGTTGTATGATTATGTACAATGTAGTATTAAAGTGCGTATAAAGGCTACGTAGTAGTAATGTCTAATGATGTAGTGAGTAGTAATGACGTAGTGAATAGAAAAGATGCGGTAAGTTACCGTACTGTGCACATGCGGTGCTGGCGCGACTCGTACCCGTCAGTCAGCTGAGCGCTTGTCAGCTGGTGCTGGCCCCTCGTCTGCCAGATTGCTAGGATGGCTGTGCGTCGTCGACCTCGGGTCACGACACCATATTGTTGACGACAGTGCACGATTTGTATACAGAGACTTTGCACCCAGCTGCTGACCCCAAGCCAGCGGCATACGTGCTCGGCAAATTGAAGTTGACCCTGGAGCACCACTTGCACGTCATTCCACCTAAGTCGCGGAAGGATGGCACATTGCTGCTACGCAATGGATGCAATGTAATGCTGAGAAGGCACTACATATGATCCTTTCTGCAGAGCGTAAACACAAGATAGAGCAAACACCAACAAAGCTGGAAGACCTCACTTTGCCATGCTCACAGCACAATTGATAGCCAGCAACCGAATAATACATGTACTTCACAAATATGGGAACCCATTTACACCAAGTGCTATTATTGGACAATGCCATTATGCTCCTAGCACGCGGCACAAGAAAATTATAGAGCTTCGCCAGCATTGCCTTGATTTTGTCGTAATGTGATGGTGTGTGCGTGTGTGTGTGTGGTGTGTGTGTGTGTGTATGTGTGTGTGTGAACATGGGAACCCATTTACACCAAGTGCTATTATCGGGCAATGCCATTATGCTCCTAGCACGCGGCACAAGAAAATTATAGAGCTTCGCCGGCATTGCCTTGATTTTGTCGTAATGTGATGGTGTGTGCGTGTGGTGTGTGTGTCACTGTGTGTGTGGGTGGTGTGTGTGTGTGTGTGTGTGTGTGTGTGTGTGTGTGTGTGTGTGTGTGTGTGTGTGTGTGTGTGTGTGTGTGTGTGTGTGTGTGTGTGTGTGTACATTACATATTGCCCTATCAAAAATATATAAATAAACTCGGATGGTGAGCCAATGTAATCATGGATAAAAAGAATAAGGACAAAATGTTACGAGTTATAACTAACTGTCCACCATGTACCAATGTCGCTAGATCATATACAGTCGGCGAGCGCGACAAAAAGGCACAAACTGACAGGGAATACTAAGACATACAACGACCAAATAATATTCAAGTCAATTTCGAAATGTCTATAATTTCGTGCCGTCGGATTAACCAAGCATGCAACGAAAGGAAAGGTATACACGCTTAGACATATATTATTAGGCATTATCTGCACCAACCTGCATTCCGGCCGAAGCATCATGTCGGGTGTGGTGGGTCGGCATTCCGGCGTATCTCCACACACCAGGAAAATCGTGAAGCGAGAATTCCCTCGTCTGTAACTGGCAAAGTCTTCACTTGACACTCAAGTTGAAATTTCTAGATACCTAGCTAATAGGAGCAGACTTCAGGACATTTGTCGCACTCGGGAATCGTCAGTTCGATCCGTACAGGGTTGGTTAGACACAAGAAATATAGCAAATTTCATTGACTGACATCTTCATCTTTACCAACACAGTTCACCACATAAACTTTCGCGCGAAAAAAATAAAAAGACCCACTCAGCTGGCTTGGCGCATCGACTGTAGCTGTGTCAGTGAATACTGACTGTGCACAGACTGTGCAGTCGTAGATCCATACTGATAGAGTATGCATGCCATCATAGTGTTCAAAAAGACAAAAACCATTCAAAAGACGAAGAAGCTCGCGAGGATGCATCGATTGCATGATTGGGTAGATCTCGTACTCATGCGCTATCCACGATCCACTGTCACTGAGCTCCACGTGCCGCGCCACAACCTGCCATTCGCGGATTTCGCGCCAAACGCTACGTTCGCGCCAAAGCAAAAATATTATTATTTTTTAAATGAAAAAAAGAGATTGTTGACGTCGACGTCGACTCGCCAGACTCGCCTGTGTTGTGCACGTGACTTGCACAGCTAGCTGAGCTGTACAGGCAAAAGAACACAGATCGTCGCATCGCACGACGACACGTGGTCTACCTGGTCTACCAGCTACATGTACAGTGGCATGCCCCCCGCCCCCCCCCCCCCCCACACACACACGGAGCAGCTGCACAGTGGCCAGTGTACCGTACTCAGTACTGCGCTGTACTGCATGCTGTGTAGCCTAGCCTACGTAGGCGCCTAGCGTCTGTCAGTACAGTAGAGGGGACGGTTTCAAATAGGACACCGGTTGCAAACCGGAACGGACTCAATATTCACTTTCTCTCTTGGTATTTTGATTAGAAAACATATGTCACAGTGAGACTACTACTAGTATAGTACTATGTGTTATACCAAGAGTAGATAAACAAGAGTGTGCAACTCGCGGATGGGTTGGCCCACGGCGGAATTTTTTGTTGACGTAATCTTTTCGACGACGCACGCGCTGCGAGCCTTTTGGAGAGTTTTCCCTCGTGCACTTGGCTGGGCTTTACACTACAAGCTCGGTGCCCAGCACGTGCTCTCACACTGCTCTGCGGCAAAGCCGCGTTTCTCTGAAAAAAGGTGACGTAAACAAAAAATTCCGCCGTGGGCGCGGGGTATCTGCAGATTGTGCAGGAGAGATCCGGAGTTGCACACTCTTGTTTATCTACTCTTGGTTATACCAAGAGTACATATGTACTCTTGGTTATACTCCGAGCCAAAATTTCATGGCTCTGCGATGACCAGAAGCGCCATATCAAGCAGGTGAGTTTTTGACGTGTTGCTTCGCACTGCGACTTGAGTTTTACGACTTTCGAAAAATCAACTTCTTGTCGCAGGTAAACAGCGGCTCGCCTCTCGCCAATAAAGCACCGCATACCAATCAAAACTAATGGAAGCACACACAAGGCTTATTGTTACTCTTTACTGGCCGTCGTGGAGCGATAGCAATTACCTAATTTCAGACCCAGAGTGAATTTGACGTGCACTCTAAAACGTGTCCGGTTTGGAGCCACCTCTGATTTGAACTTTTTTGAAGCGAAAAATTGGGCAACTTGGAGGCAATGGGTCAACACAAAGGAGTGGCTCAGTTCTCTGGCCCCAGAGCAAACTTCAACATGCCAGTTTCCTTCCACAAACATATTTCGAGTGAAAAATCAACGCTGATGATCGGTTTGGGTCTATACAAATTTGGCTGTCAAAACGTCCCGGTATCGAGCCGTCTCCTCTACACGTACCGCATGTCAGTTGTCACACTCCACGAGACACTCAATGATCGTACATTGTAGACACGACTTCGAGCACTTTCATAATGTTCACGACAGGATAGTCAAACAAAAGCTTCTTCCCAGTATTTTTTTGGTTTGGGATATGAAGTGTTACATCCTCGTCTAGGCCAGGCTGTAGGTGTTTTGTTTCCTTGGTGTTCTGAAGCAGTGAAGTCCTTAGCTCCCTGCAGCTCTCTACCCGAGAGAATGTGTAATCGAGGTGTTGCAGGGACTCTCTTGATCATTCTAGGTGCAATTATCCTAGTGGCTGCCATCGGTTCTCCCTATCTGGTGCGGAGACTCCTGAAGCAGGTAAGTGACGAGGAAGAAGAGTAGGAACTAAAAAGGGTGCAATGATGTCAATTTTTGTCTTGTCCGTAAGAGGAGTGGGTTGCTGGATAGGCATGATATCAGGACTTGAAGCTTTCATAGGACACTGTTCCAGCAAGGCATAACCATGATAACTGACAGGCACACACTGTGACACAGTGTCGATGAGAGCCACCGCAGACGAGTACAGCACAATACACACGTAGCGAAGACACAGTACAGTAAGTATCGTTTATAAAGTGACCGGATATAATGATATACCGGTTATAGTGATAGAACACGTCAAAATCAAAATCAAATCAGAAAAAATACAGCTAAAATATCACTATATACACTATTATCGGCTATACCGATATATCGCTTATTGTGATGGACTTCAGGAAGCAAACCATATCAAATGTACAGGAAAATATCGCATATAATGATCAAGAGTGATCTTTCTGCATGCTCTTGTCCGTTTCTGGCTGTGTTGCCTCTCACAATGATGTTGCCAACTCACGTACACAGCCACTCATGTCTATTTCTGGCTCTACGCAACTCGTTGGACACCGAGATCTACGTGAGTACGGATCCAGCTCAGGCTTTTTTTGGAGAACACGCTGAAGAAGCAGCCATGCCACATGATGTATCGAAGTTCTAGTACATGTACAGTCTGTACTCGTACTGCACTGCCATGCACTGCTCTGTGTCATGCACCGGTACACAGTCCGCGGAGCATGCATGCACTTTCAGCATGCTTTTTCCAGCGTGTACGCATCATTTCATGTGCAGTCATGTGCCATGTGTCGGTCAAACATGCAAATCGGCTATAGTGATGCACCGGATATAGTGATACATTTTCGAAAATCAAAGGGGCACGTTATATCCGATATTTACTGTACCAGGTTAGAGGGAAAGTAGGGCAGTGTGCAGGCCATAGTTCGTAGTGCATGAGAAATTTAGATGCACATGTACTGTAAAATCCCGCCGGACGCCCCGTCTCTCCCATGCGTCCCTCCATGAATTCTTGTCAGGGAAGTGATAATGATTGTATTATCGTATGACTCTGTGAAGTGTGATGCCGCACTGCACTGCAGACGTGTGCTCGACCCGGTTGGAAATGTACGCAACAGTTCACACCCTCTTGACCAGGGATCGAACAAACCCTGGGTTGTGACGGGTTTGTACGACTCCCTGCTCTTGACCTTTGCTCGGTGTACGAGACGCACGCACAGTTCATGTAGGGTGAGTACTTGTTCATGTACTACTGAATGTGGCAAGTAGACTCGTCCATCTCCTCCTCACCGACCTCAGCTCCCCACCTGGACCTATTAGAAGGGTCGCGGAGGTAGGGGCGCTCTGGTGGGATTTTACGGTACTTGGAATATTCTTCTTCATGTACATGTAAGTAAGTAGGGTGTTCAAAAGCCCGAAGAGTGCTCGCCCGAAGAGTGCTCAAAGCATCAAAGCCTGAAGAGTGTTCCACCACCCGAAGTGTGTTCAATGCCCTTATATGGCAGATCTTTCCACACTGCAGAGAGAAAGGAGGATGCAGAGTTTCCACGACCATCAGGCAACTGATGGTCCAAAACAGGCATCCTGAGCATAGTAGGAAGCGAGGCACGGAAGGGAAAGCAATAGGGCAAGCTTTTTGGTGATTGAACATGTCATCTTCAAAAGGCTCAAGCTCTTCAATCAGCTGAGGTCCGTGAGGATGAGCATGCAGGTATACCTTGTCCTTATACGGGTGTTGAGCAGTCTTGGGGCAGAGGAGCACCCTGCCTGACTACGTCAGGGGCTCCGTCTTGGCCATTTGTTAAGTACTCTCTTCCTTTATTGTTCATATTGAGTGGAGGCACCAAAACGGGTTCACCTGACCTACTCAATGAAGAATGTTCTCCTTCTGTCGACCGCCCAATACACCAGCAGGCTGATTGAAATGTGTGAGAGTCACCGTACTCTGCTCCAGTGCTCCAGCAGAGTTTATCAGTGGAGGTAGTAGACTATGGATGATTGACTGAGAATAATGTTATATCAGGCAAAACTGGCGCATTAGCGCACCTTTTATTATTAGTATTATCATATTACCCTGTATTGTATCATTCGTTCACCTCAGTCAACCATTCATTGTCTTCTATCCCTGCTGATGAGCTTTGTTGGAGCAGAACAGCTGGAAGGACTGACAATACCGTACCTGCCAAGTATCCCGCATTTTCGGATGAGCTCCCGCGATCCCGAAATTCCTCTCGATTATCCCGAAAACCAGTGTACAATAAACAAGTCTTGATATTGTTCTTGGAGCACTCCAAGTGACTTGTCTAGTTGTCCTTATTGATTCTGTACCGTCATAGCTGTAGCACCAGTGGATCTACTAGTACTCCTTCCATGAACAGTCCCTGAAAACCTCTTTTGAGCCTTGAACATGCGTAAACATGTGATCATATCATCATCATCATCATCATCTACAATTGTAATCAATAATGTCACAAATTGTTGGGGTCATCCTTTAAAAAAAGCACTCTCAGTGCTTGGCAGGTATTCATTATCAAAATCTCAATTGAATTTTCCTGGCTATAGTGGTGATGTGCAAATAAAGTGGGTCGGTCGAGAGCGCATCGTGGAGTTACTGATTTCAATGTAATAGCCGGGTTTGTCGCTAATTTCTCTTCTCAAATACGGTATCCCGAGCATCAGATTCATGTTAGGATGATGACATTAACCGTCTGTTCTTTCTGCTGTTTCTTCTATTTTCTGCAGCAACTACAATATGCCAACGGCACTACACTCTACACGTCTTGGGTGAAGCCCGTCACTAGAGATTTTAATATCTATATTTTTAATATCACCAACCTTGACGACGTCTTGAATGGATCTGTACCACAGTTGGACGAGATTGGGCCGTATACGTATGAGTAAGTTGTCAATGCTGTGCTTGATAACTTTGTTGCTCTGTACTGATTTTTAAAAAGAGTAATGGCGTGAAAGGCCTTACCGGACTCAGCAGTGACTTTATTCATGTGGTGTTTGGGCTAGCAGTTCCAACTCAAATTGATAATACCGTAATGTCGCGTACAAAAGCAGGTGCTTACGGCCGTATAAGCCGATGTCAGTGCTAGTCTTCTGTTCAAGTCAGGCTTCTATTCAAACCACGCATCTCTATATATGTCAATACTAAAACCAGGCTTATGTGCTGACATTGTATCTTAAAAATCAGGCTTGTATTCAAAACAGGCTTTTATACAAGACACTACAGTATTCAAGTTGTGGTACACCTAACGAGGACCCTCTGCCACGGGAGCTTGGCATGCCACCCATCCTTTGTCTCAGTTCTTCGCCTTGTCTGTCCCTATAGGCGTTTGGATCTGAGTGTGTGTGTGTGGGGGGGGGGGGGGGGGTACATGCGTGCGTGCGCGTGAGTTCATGTCTGTGTTTGCTCGTATGTTCCAGAGTGTGAACACACGCTGTGTCATGTTCATACTTCAAAGTAGTACTTCATATGTCAGTCTGTGACCATATGTTGTCATAGCTTTCGTGTGATCATCAACTGACAACACCTTATGTGGCACTTCCCATGAGTTACTTCGAAGTAATTAAAAACCCTTCACCATCAGACTTCATACTCTTCCTCATCATCATTGTTCCAGGGTGCGACAGAGCTCTCGGCCATTGAAGAAATGTTGAGTCACCTCCACCATTTCACTGCACTCTTTAGCCGACTAGACCCTCCTGCAAACAACCATCACCACTGCGAGGACACTTCCGTAGACGATATTGAAAATTCCTTCGAACAGCTGTTTCGCTACTACATAGCGCATCAGTGAATGTTGAATGATTAGAAATATAGACCAAACTGCTATTATATAGGGTTTTCCACATACAAAACTGGCATAGCTAATCATTCAATCTATACCCGGGCATAAGCACATGGGCTTTTAAGTGAACCTAAGGCCATGGTAAAAATTATCTTTGATTCTCAAGTACGCGCGCACCGATTTTTGGCGGCGCACCGACGATTTTTTAAATTTCTATGCATGCATATGCCCACATGAAAACGGTCAATGCGAAAGGCATGAATCAGGGAGTAGTAAAATACCGGTATTTTTCTACTCCATGTCCTGAATAATAAATTAATAATTATATGAACCTGTGACGTACATATGTGTGACCCTATCTTTGGAAATAAAAAAAATGTGGGAAATAAAATAAAAAATCGCTCGCTCGCACCGATTTTCACAGGCTCATGACCTGAGAATCAACTTTATTTTTTACCATGGCCTAACCTTCACTGATGAGCTATGTATTAGCGAAACAGCTGTCTGAAGGAATTTTCAATATCGTCTACGGAAGTGTCCTCGCAGTGGTGATGGTTGTGTGCGGGAGAGTCTAGTCGGCTAAAGAGCGCAGTGGAGGTGACTCAACATCATCATTGTTGTCTGAAGATTGGTAAATAATCATGAAACTCAGAGTAACAAGAAATAAAAAAATAATCTTGTTCCATTGCTGACTTGTGTAAGTTATGGTCATATGTGTGCGTGTGTGTGTGTGTGTACGTGTGTGTACGTGCGTGTGTGCTCCTGTGTGCGTGTATGTGTGCATTATCGTGCCTGTGTATACATGTGTGTATGATTGTATGTGCTCCTGTGTGTGTGTGTGTGTGTGTGTGTGTGTGTGTGTGTGTGTGTGTGTACGTGTCTGTTTGTGTGTGGCTATATGTGCGTATGTGTGTATATGTGTGTGCATGTGTGTGTGTGTGTGTGTGTGTGTGTGTGTGTGTGTGTGTGTGTGTGTGTGTGTGTGTGTGTGTGTGTGTGTGTGTGTGTGTGTGTGTGTGTGTGTGTGTGCATGCATGTGTGTTTCTGACAGTGAGTACACTGGCCCAGTACCAGACAGCATCCGGTTTAGTGATGATGGCAATACTGTGCGCTTCAACCATCACGCCTATTATGTATTCAATGCAACGAAAACCAATGCTGCAAACAAAGGAGTGCACCTCAATCCCTTGACAGATCAGCTCATTGTGCCGAATGTGCTTTTCCATGTAAGTCTAATGGGCTTATTGCCGTAGCTATGCACAATGTACTGCTCATTCTACTATACCTGCGCTGGGAATGTAGTTCAAAGTACCCAATTGCAAGTGGGGAATCTAGAACCTTTTCCAGACTTTTTTCAGTGTGAGGCCGGAGGAAGCACTTCCGCAAGGGTTTGGCAACGCCTTTGACATTGTGTTGAGTTTGTGTGTATGTATAACTGCGGGTGCACATTGGGTGGTTGGTGTGCCCTCACAGAATCCATAAATACAAATACAATACAATACATGGAAGGAGTGTGTGCGTATGTGTGTGTGTGTGTGTGTGTGTGTGTGTGTGTGTGTGTGTGTGTGTGTGTGTGTGTGTGTGTGTGTGTGTGTGTGTGTGTGTGTGTGTGTGTGTGTGTGTGTGTGTGTGTGTGTGTGTGTGTGTGTGTGTGTGTGTGTGTGTGTGTGTGTGTGTGTGTGTGTGTGTGTGTGCGTATGTGTGCTTGTTTTGTTTTCATTTCCTAGTCTGTTCTAGCGCTGTGCAAGAATCCCTTATCTATCCTGGCACCGGTTTGTGGCTTGTTTGAGTATGGCGTTTTGGCAGATCTTCATGTCCAGCCATTCGAAGTGAGTGCACCGACCTCCGAGCCCTTTGCTTCATACCTTCTTTGGTCATGCTTGTACACGGACGGCCATGAGGGCTGAATAATAGTGTTCATAGTACTTCATTTGCCAGTACGAGTACAATTATCGATCTTTTACACAAAACGAAAAAAGTTCCTTCAGTGGATGGGTGGGTCGAGGAGAGTTGTCATTTTGAAAAATATTGATAGCTGAATTATCAATCCATTCTAGCTGTCAAGTCAATGTATTTTTCGTTTGGTTGGGTAGGTGGGTGGGGGAGAGTCAGAAGTAAACTTTTTTGTCCCGAGAAAATTATCGATAATGCCCGGATGGCTCCCGAATCTCAATTACGTGGGCAGTCAGGTTGGGACAGTGTGTGCAACTTGGATTAGTCACACATTGGTATGCATGTGTACTTAGCAGAGTGAACACATTCGCAAGCCATTTTCGTGTCACTATCATTGTTGTGGGTTCATAAAGGTACATTTGTCTGGGATGAAGTCAGGTGTTCGCCCTGTACTTTGCAATTCGCATTGCAAGACAGTTATTTTGAAAATGGGAAAAAATGGGTTACGGGGTAACTGTTTTCCCTGCCCCCCCCCCCCCCCTACTATTTTGACCTGGCTAGCACCCTGTATAGTGTCATTGATACTGAAGTAGTTGTTTAATCTCGCAGTCGTAAGGGTGTATGTTTGTTATGTTTAGTGTGCTTTGACCGGTCCAGGAAAATTGTCCTTTAAGTATTGCTCCTTGTAACTACTGGCACACGGGTACAGTAGAGTCGCGCGCCCAAGAACGTTGTTTCCAAGGGGTTAGCCTGGGACGTTCTTATTTTTCAGCTATCTGACTGTGTTCTTATAGCACGTTCTTAGAAACAGTGCGTACTGGATCATATGTATCCGACAAGCTGCCAGAAAACCAATACCGCCGTTCTTAGCTTTAGGCTGTGGTGTTCTTAGTATTTCAGGCTGGACGTTCTTGGGCTTCACGTTCTTCAGCGTGCGACTCTACTGTAATACCAAAAGAACATCCGTGAATATCTGTTTGCTATCTGGACTTTTTCCCCTTTTTCTGTTGTGCGCGTTTTTCTTGCAGACAATAACGCCAGATAAATTGATTTGGGGCAAGCAGACTAACTTCTCTGAGTTCATGAATGAGCTGTCACAAGGACTGATTCCAGAAGTTTTTGGACTTTTGGTGAGTTAATTGAAGCTTAACTTATAGGCTTTTAAAGGTGTTAGGGAGACAAGAAAGATATGAACGCAATAAGTAAAGTGACACCGTTAGCTACAGTTCAGTACCTTATGTTTTCATTGCCATCTCATCAGAAGGATTGTACTGGAAAAGCTAAATGAGCAATGTCATTGTTTCGCACTGAAATTAATTCTTTACTTCATTGCATGTTGCGTATTTACATGTATATAAAACAAGTAGAAGAGGATGAAAAATTCATTGTGACTCCTCCGTCTTAACTTTGTGGGTACAGTAACACCTGTAAGTAAAGACCACCGTGACTAGTGACCAGCCTGCTACTACAGACCACCATGACTAGTGACCAGCCTGGTACTACAGACCACCGTGACTAGCGACCAGCCTGGTACTACAGACCACCGTGACTAGTGACCAGCCTGCTACTACAGACCACCGTGACTAGTGACCAGCCTGCTACTACAGACCACCGTGACTAGTGACCAGCCTGCTACTACAGACCACCATGACTAGTGACCAGCCTGGTACTACAGACCACCGTGACTAGCGACCAGCCTGGTACTACAGACCACCATGACTAGTGACCAGCCTGGTACTACAGACCACCGTGACTAGTGACCAGCCTGCTACTACAGACCACCGTGACTAGTGACCAGCCTGCTACTACAGACCACCATGACTAGTGACCAGCCTGGTACTACAGACCACCGTGACTAGTGACCAGCCTGGTACTACAGACCACCGTGACTAGTGACCAGCCTGGTACTACAGACCACCGTGACTAGTGACCAGCCTGGTACTACAGACCACCGTGACTAGTGACCAGCCTGGTACTACAGACCACCGTGACTAGTGACCAGCCTGCTACTACAGACCACCGTGACTAGTGACCAGCCTGGTACTACAGACCACCGTGACTAGTGACCAGCCTGGTACTACAGACCACCGTGACTAGTGACCAGCCTGGTACTACAGACCACCGTGACTAGCGACCAGCCTGGTACTACAGACCACCGTGACTAGTGACCAGCCTGGTACTACAGACCACCGTGACTAGTGACCAGCCTGGTACTACAGACCACCGTGACTAGTGACCAGCCTGCTACTACAGACCACCGTGACTAGTGACCAGCCTGGTACTACAGACCACCGTGACTAGTGACCAGCCTGGTACTACAGACCACCGTGACTAGTGACCAGCCTGCTACTACAGACCACCGTGACTAGTGACCAGCCTGGTACTACAGACCACCGTGACTAGTGACCAGCCTGGTACTACAGACCACCGTGACTAGTGACCAGCCTGGTACTACAGACCACCGTGACTAGTGACCAGCCTGGTACTACAGACCACCGTGACTAGCGACCAGCCTGGTACTACAGACCACCGTGACTAGTGACCAGCCTGGTACTACAGACCACCGTGACTAGTGACCAGCCTGGTACTACAGACCACCGTGACTAGTGACCAGCCTGGTACTACAGACCACCGTGACTAGCGACCAGCCTGGTACTACAGACCACCGTGACTAGCGACCAGCCTGGTACTACAGACCACCGTGACTAGTGACCAGCCTGGTACTACAGACCACCGTGACTAGTGACCAGCCTGCTACTACAGACCACCATGACTAGTGACCAGCCTGGTACTACAGACCACCGTGACTAGCGACCAGCCTGGTACTACAGACCACCGTGACTAGTGACCAGCCTGGTACTACAGACCACCGTGACTAGTGACCAGCCTGCTACTACAGACCACCGTGACTAGTGACCAGCCTGCTACTACAGACCACCATGACTAGTGACCAGCCTGGTACTACAGACCACCATGACTAGCGACCAGCCTGGTACTACAGACCACCATGACTAGTGACCAGCCTGGTACTACAGACCACCGTGACTAGTGACCAGCCTGCTACTACAGACCACCGTGACTAGTGACCAGCCTGCTACTACAGACCACCATGACTAGTGACCAGCCTGGTACTACAGACCACCGTGACTAGTGACCAGCCTGGTACTACAGACCACCGTGACTAGTGACCAGCCTGCTACTACAGACCACCGTGACTAGTGACCAGCCTGGTACTACAGACCACCGTGACTAGTGACCAGCCTGGTACTACAGACCACCGTGACTAGTGACCAGCCTGGTACTACAGACCACCGTGACTAGCGACCAGCCTGGTACTACAGACCACCGTGACTAGTGACCAGCCTGGTACTACAGACCACCGTGACTAGTGACCAGCCTGGTACTACAGACCACCGTGACTAGTGACCAGCCTGCTACTACAGACCACCGTGACTAGTGACCAGCCTGGTACTACAGACCACCGTGACTAGTGACCAGCCTGGTACTACAGACCACCGTGACTAGTGACCAGCCTGCTACTACAGACCACCGTGACTAGTGACCAGCCTGGTACTACAGACCACCGTGACTAGTGACCAGCCTGGTACTACAGACCACCGTGACTAGTGACCAGCCTGGTACTACAGACCACCGTGACTAGTGACCAGCCTGGTACTACAGACCACCGTGACTAGCGACCAGCCTGGTACTACAGACCACCGTGACTAGTGACCAGCCTGGTACTACAGACCACCGTGACTAGTGACCAGCCTGGTACTACAGACCACCGTGACTAGTGACCAGCCTGGTACTACAGACCACCGTGACTAGCGACCAGCCTGGTACTACAGACCACCGTGACTAGCGACCAGCCTGGTACTACAGACCACCGTGACTAGTGACCAGCCTGGTACTACAGACCACCGTGACTAGTGACCAGCCTGCTACTACAGACCACCATGACTAGTGACCAGCCTGGTACTACAGACCACCGTGACTAGCGACCAGCCTGGTACTACAGACCACCGTGACTAGTGACCAGCCTGGTACTACAGACCACCGTGACTAGTGACCAGCCTGCTACTACAGACCACCGTGACTAGTGACCAGCCTGCTACTACAGACCACCATGACTAGTGACCAGCCTGGTACTACAGACCACCGTGACTAGCGACCAGCCTGGTACTACAGACCACCATGACTAGTGACCAGCCTGGTACTACAGACCACCGTGACTAGTGACCAGCCTGCTACTACAGACCACCGTGACTAGTGACCAGCCTGCTACTACAGACCACCGTGACTAGTGACCAGCCTGGTACTACAGACCACCGTGACTAGTGACCAGCCTGGTACTACAGACCACCGTGACTAGTGACCAGCCTGGTACTACAGACCACCGTGACTAGCGACCAGCCTGGTACTACAGACCACCGTGACTAGTGACCAGCCTGGTACTACAGACCACCGTGACTAGTGACCAGCCTGGTACTACAGACCACCGTGACTAGTGACCAGCCTGGTACTACAGACCACCGTGACTAGCGACCAGCCTGGTACTACAGACCACCGTGACTAGCGACCAGCCTGGTACTACAGACCACCGTGACTAGTGACCAGCCTGGTACTACAGACCACCGTGACTAGTGACCAGCCTGCTACTACAGACCACCATGACTAGTGACCAGCCTGGTACTACAGACCACCGTGACTAGCGACCAGCCTGGTACTACAGACCACCGTGACTAGTGACCAGCCTGGTACTACAGACCACCGTGACTAGTGACCAGCCTGCTACTACAGACCACCGTGACTAGTGACCAGCCTGCTACTACAGACCACCATGACTAGTGACCAGCCTGGTACTACAGACCACCATGACTAGCGACCAGCCTGGTACTACAGACCACCATGACTAGTGACCAGCCTGGTACTACAGACCACCGTGACTAGTGACCAGCCTGCTACTACAGACCACCGTGACTAGTGACCAGCCTGCTACTACAGACCACCATGACTAGTGACCAGCCTGGTACTACAGACCACCGTGACTAGTGACCAGCCTGGTACTACAGACCACCGTGACTAGTGACCAGCCTGCTACTACAGACCACCGTGACTAGTGACCAGCCTGGTACTACAGACCACCGTGACTAGTGACCAGCCTGGTACTACAGACCACCGTGACTAGTGACCAGCCTGGTACTACAGACCACCGTGACTAGCGACCAGCCTGGTACTACAGACCACCGTGACTAGTGACCAGCCTGGTACTACAGACCACCGTGACTAGTGACCAGCCTGGTACTACAGACCACCGTGACTAGTGACCAGCCTGCTACTACAGACCACCGTGACTAGTGACCAGCCTGGTACTACAGACCACCGTGACTAGTGACCAGCCTGGTACTACAGACCACCGTGACTAGTGACCAGCCTGCTACTACAGACCACCGTGACTAGTGACCAGCCTGGTACTACAGACCACCGTGACTAGTGACCAGCCTGGTACTACAGACCACCGTGACTAGTGACCAGCCTGGTACTACAGACCACCGTGACTAGTGACCAGCCTGGTACTACAGACCACCGTGACTAGCGACCAGCCTGGTACTACAGACCACCGTGACTAGTGACCAGCCTGGTACTACAGACCACCGTGACTAGTGACCAGCCTGGTACTACAGACCACCGTGACTAGTGACCAGCCTGGTACTACAGACCACCGTGACTAGCGACCAGCCTGGTACTACAGACCACCGTGACTAGCGACCAGCCTGGTACTACAGACCACCGTGACTAGTGACCAGCCTGGTACTACAGACCACCGTGACTAGTGACCAGCCTGCTACTACAGACCACCATGACTAGTGACCAGCCTGGTACTACAGACCACCGTGACTAGCGACCAGCCTGGTACTACAGACCACCGTGACTAGTGACCAGCCTGGTACTACAGACCACCGTGACTAGTGACCAGCCTGCTACTACAGACCACCGTGACTAGTGACCAGCCTGCTACTACAGACCACCATGACTAGTGACCAGCCTGGTACTACAGACCACCGTGACTAGCGACCAGCCTGGTACTACAGACCACCATGACTAGTGACCAGCCTGGTACTACAGACCACCGTGACTAGTGACCAGCCTGCTACTACAGACCACCGTGACTAGTGACCAGCCTGCTACTACAGACCACCATGACTAGTGACCAGCCTGGTACTACAGACCACCGTGACTAGTGACCAGCCTGGTACTACAGACCACCGTGACTAGTGACCAGCCTGGTACTACAGACCACCGTGACTAGTGACCAGCCTGGTACTACAGACCACCGTGACTAGTGACCAGCCTGGTACTACAGACCACCGTGACTAGTGACCAGCCTGCTACTACAGACCACCGTGACTAGTGACCAGCCTGGTACTACAGACCACCGTGACTAGTGACCAGCCTGGTACTACAGACCACCGTGACTAGTGACCAGCCTGGTACTACAGACCACCGTGACTAGCGACCAGCCTGGTACTACAGACCACCGTGACTAGTGACCAGCCTGGTACTACAGACCACCATGACTAGTGACCAGCCTGGTACTACAGACCACCGTGACTAGTGACCAGCCTGGTACTACAGACCACCGTGACTAGTGACCAGCCTGGTACTACAGACCACCGTGACTAGTGACCAGCCTGGTACTACAGACCACCGTGACTAGTGACCAGCCTGGTACTACAGACCACCGTGACTAGTGACCAGCCTGGTACTACAGACCACCGTGACTAGTGACCAGCCTGGTACTACAGACCACCGTGACTAGTGACCAGCCTGGTACTACAGACCACCGTGACTAGTGACCAGCCTGGTACTACAGACCACCGTGACTAGTGACCAGCCTGGTACTACAGACCACCGTGACTAGTGACCAGCCTGGTACTACAGACCACCCTGACTAGTGACCAGCCTGGTACTACAGACCACCGTGACTAGTGACCAGCCTGGTACTACAGACCACCGTGACTAGCGACCAGCCTGGTACTACAGACCACCGTGACTAGTGACCAGCCTGGTACTACAGACCACCGTGACTAGTGACCAGCCTGGTACTACAGACCACCGTGACTAGTGACCAGCCTGGTACTACAGACCACCGTGACTAGCGACCAGCCTGGTACTACAGACCACCGTGACTAGTGACCAGCCTGGTACTACAGACCACCGTGACTAGCGACCAGCCTGGTACTACAGACCACCGTGACTAGTGACCAGCCTGGTACTACAGACCACCGTGACTAGTGACCAGCCTGGTACTACAGACCACCGTGACTAGTGACCAGCCTGGTACTACAGACCACCGTGACTAGCGACCAGCCTGGTACTACAGACCACCGTGACTAGCGACCAGCCTGGTACTACAGACCACCGTGACTAGTGACCAGCCTGGTACTACAGACCACCGTGACTAGTGACCAGCCTGGTACTACAGACCACCGTGACTAGCGACCAGCCTGGTACTACAGACCACCGTGACTAGTGACCAGCCTGGTACTACAGACCACCGTGACTAGCGACCAGCCTGGTACTACAGACCACCGTGACTAGTGACCAGCCTGGTACTACAGACCACCGTGACTAGCGACCAGCCTGGTACTACAGACCACCGTGACTAGTGACCAGCCTGGTACTACAGACCACCGTGACTAGCGACCAGCCTGGTACTACAGACCACCGTGACTAGTGACCAGCCTGGTACTACAGACCACCGTGACTAGCGACCAGCCTGGTACTACAGACCACCGTGACTAGTGACCAGCCTGGTACTACAGACCACCGTGACTAGCGACCAGCCTGGTACTACAGACCACCGTGACTAGTGACCAGCCTGGTACTACAGACCACCGTGACTAGCGACCAGCCTGGTACTACAGACCACCGTGACTAGCGACCAGCCTGGTACTACAGACCACCGTGACTAGTGACCAGCCTGGTACTACAGACCACCGTGACTAGCGACCAGCCTGGTACTACAGACCACCGTGACTAGCGACCAGCCTGGTACTACAGACCACCGTGACTAGCGACCAGCCTGGTACTACAGACCACCGTGACTAGCGACCAGCCTGGTACTACAGACCACCGTGACTAGCGACCAGCCTGGTACTACAGACCACCGTGACTAGCGACCAGCCTGGTACAACAGACCACCGTGACTAGCGACCAGCCTGGTACTACAGACCACCGTGACTAGTGAACAGCCTGGTACTGCAGACCACCGTGACTAGTGACCAGCCTGGTACTGCAGACCACCGTGACTAGTGACCAGCCTGGTACTACAGACCACCGTGACTAGCGACCAGCCTGGTACTGCAGACCACCGTGACTAGTGACCAGCCTGGTACTACAGACCACCGTGACTAGTGACCAGCCTGGTACTACAGACCACTTCGCCAGGCACGGACGGTCTCACATTCATATTATGGTTGTGCGGTGCAAATCTCTAACTAAGGACCACCTGCTACTAATGACCGCTTTCTCTGGCCCCAAGGGGTGGTCGTTAGTCACTGGTTTTGCTGTATATACGCCAGCATCCAGATTTTTTCATTGCTGTTGTCTGGTGATCGCCTAGTGCGTGAAACTCGAGAGTCACAGCGAATTTGTCATCCTCCTCTACTTGTTGTAAGTAGCTCTGCCCTCGGGCATTGACCACTCTTTTGACAGCCTGGAACCTTTCTGTTTTGTATGTACATGTATATTGTGTTACACGTTCATTTAGCTTTGCCGGTACAATTCGCTTTACTTATTAATCATATATTTTGTAAAATAATAGAGGACCCATGCGTACGAGTTACGAGTAACCGGCAGCCACTGTAACTAGATAATAAGCAGTCAGAAAACATGATAATTGGGCATGAAACTGACAGACTACTGAGACGTTCAGCAACCTGACACCTAGCTCTAACAGATCTCCAATGTTCAAACCAACAGCCTTCACTAATTTTTATTAAATTTTTGTTGTGTACACATCACACTTTTCTTATCTGCTTTCCTTGCAGTACTATAATAATATTGTAGTGTGTGTACAGTATACAGCAGTTTTTGTTAATACTCACTGTGTGTGCGCGTGCACGTGTGTGCGTGTGTGTGCATGTATGTACGTGTGCGTGCATGTATGCGCGTGTGTGTGTGCATGTATGTGCGTGCGTGCTTGTGTGTGTATGTGTGTGGTTGTGTGTGTGTGTGTGTGTGTGTGTGTGTATGTGTGTGTGTGCGTGTGTGTGTGTGTTTGTATTGCTTATAATGGTGCAGAAAAACAACACAGTGGGTCGTGAAAGCTCTATTAATACTGGACGCACAGATGAATATGAAGTGGCTAAGTTCATTACTTGGTTGGGACAAAAGGAATTGGATGCGTGGAACTCAAAATATGCCAACATGATTAATGGTAAGCGATTGTACCCTACTCTCTGTCTGGCTCTCTCTCTCTCTCTCTCTCTCTCTCTCTCTCTCTCTCTCTCTCTCTCTCTCTCTCTCTCGCCCGGAACCGTTTTTTAGTCCTTTTCATGCTCCACTCAACAGTATGGGCAGATATTAAAGTTGCCACATGTCTCAGTAAATGTATAGACAATGCTCACGGCGTATTGGGCTGTTTTCTGCAGGCACCGCCGGTACGGTTTTCCGTCCCTATTTGGACCGTGATGATGTGAAGCTGGTGTATGCCTTTGTTGACCAAGTGAACAGGTTGGTTTTGATGCCGTACTTTAACCTATTGGTACATGTATGGAGTCTTTTCTGGCCAAAGCATCATTTGTTTTTATTCTATAGGTTTCGCTCTTTTGGTAAATGTGATTCTGCTTTCCTCAACCAGATCTACCAGGTTTGAGGCTGGTAGAAGTTGGTAGAGGTACGGGAATTCCTTTATGACCATGAGACCAACAGTACGTTAACCAGTGTGTATAACTCCGCAGCTATGCCACATAATAATTATCACTCCCACTTCTTCAAAACCCTTTGTTTAGGCAACCATCATGATTTGCAGGATATCCTGTCACACCATGCATGTAGGTACAGGGCGAATCACCGCATCACTGAGGTAATGAAGGGAAATGCGCGTGCATTTTTAGTTCACCTTTTGTACAAGTAGCAATGCATAACGGGATTTTCGGTTTTGGACCACTTTGGTGGTGGGTCTGATCTACTTCCTCTCTCTCTCTCTCCCCCCCCCCCCCCCGCACACACACACACTGTTTTGGGAGCTATCCTTGAGGGTGGTGTTCCTGCGGATGCGGAAAACTCGACCTAACCGAGTCTCACGCAAACTGTGAATTTCATTTGTTTAGCAATGTACAATAGGGATTACCTTGGTGACACCAAGAGGACATAAGCTCCGAAGACAAGGCAAAAGTGTGCAACTCTGGATACCAGCTTTCCGTGGGGTCCGCCGACGACAAAAACTTACATTGCGTGGGCGATGGTGCCCGCTTTTAGCGACCAGCGGCGTAGTAAAAATAGCACTCCCTGACAGAAACCCATTCAGTTTATGCGAATCATGTGCAAATATTCGGGCTGCGCGCGCTGGCTTCCGTTGCACTTCTAATTAAGCGGTCATGCCCAGTTCGAGGTTCGAATTATCATACATTGTTATGTGGGCACCTTGGGACCGGGCACTACCCGTAGCTCAGGAAGCTCACCTACCACGTGTCATGTCAGTTTTTGATGAAGTTTATCTAGCACTCAGTCCATTGATGACAATGTGTGGATTACATAGGTTGGCAGTGACAAGGGTTTAAAAAATAAGCATGTGCGTACAAGAGATTGAAAGAAACTTGAAATCGAAGCACACGTCGAATGTGCCCGGTAGAGAGACGTGCTCATATCTGAGGCATGTGAATAAGAGACGTTTGGGTGTTTCGCCACTAGTAAACTGGTGTGCGATGCAGCAAAGGCCACCATGCACGATGATGTAAACAAAACCATAACTTTGCCGAGGGTTCATTCTCTACGAAGTTGCACAACCTTGGTTTAGGTCACTTTTGGTAGCTATTGTCTGAGTGAGCTGGAGACTGTTACCACAAGTCTCTACAATCTTGATGACACTGCATACTATTTCCAGCTGTTTGATCTATCTGTCTCTCACTGTGTGTGTGTGTGTGTGTGTGTGTGTGTGTGTGTGTGTGCGTGCGTGCGTGCGTGCGTGCGTGCGTGTGTGTGTGTGTGTGTGTGTGTGTGTGTGTGTGTGTGTGTGTGTGTGTGTGTGTGTGTGTGTGTGTGTGTGTGTGTGTGTGTGTGTGTGTGTGTGTGTGTGTCTCTCTCTCTCTCTCTCATATTACCTCAGCTGTCAATCAGCTTTATATATTGCTATGATTGTAGCTGTCACTATCACTGTTGTATTTTTTTACCTACTAGGAGTTTCGACTTGCAGTACACGGAGGATGTGAAAGTGGATAGGATTACATGCAGGCGCTATGTATTGCCCGAATCGGAGATGGAGAATGCCACACAGAACCCGGAGCAGGCTGGCTGGTTCGCATTCGGTCCCAGCGGTCTCTTGAATATATCGTTTATACAAGGTAGAGCTGAACTCATTTCCCACTTGTAGAGTTTTCTGGAATAGGGACACCCGGTGTACCAGTAGACAATTAGCAGTATCTGAGAATGAATTTGTTCGTTCTGAGATCTCAGCTTGGTGATGGCGTAGGTATTATAATTGAGCCCCGACACGACAAAAGGGTGCTTATGGCACGAGACATCAAAATGAGAAAAAAACTCGTTTGAAAGTGGAGTATGCAGTATTGAGAGTGCACATTTTCTTTTTGAATTCGATTAGTTTTCGTTGCGATTTATCAAGCTTTTTGAATGCGTTTTTTTTAAACAGAAGCAGTGAGAATTCAGCCATTGCGCTGTATCCATAACTCAGTTTGTGAAATTTTTGCCATAAGCATCCTTTTGTCATGGTGCGGCTCAATTATTAGTACAACTGCTGCTGCTGCTGTTTTGACTGCTTCTTCTGCTTCTTCTGCTTCTTCTTTGTGGTGCATGGTATTTAGGTGGCTTCCCTATCTTTGTGAGCAAGCCACATTTCCTCCATGGCGAACCCCAGCTCCGTGACAATGCCAGTATTCATGCTTCGCGTGCTCCCATTGGTCGAATCTTGGACACTGCGCTGGATGTTGAGCCAGTAAGTTTCAGGTGCATGGGACTTGCGGATTAAGGGAATTCTAACTACGGGCCTACCCTTGTTAATAGATACCCCCGGGGGGTTCAAGTTGTTTGTCTCATAATGAGTAGTGTCTACTATCCGGACGTGAATGTACGCGTTTCAGCCACCAGGGGATTTTTGATGGTTGTCTGCTAATGAGATTTGCCTTGTAAGTTGTATCCGTGGTTACCGATGTTGTACTAACAAGGTTAGACCTGTGCATAGTATTGGCAATTCTGTTTTGATACAAAGTGGCGGTGACAAATTTAATCTAGCATTCCATCCCAGTGTACTTAGAAAATAGCTCCGCTCTGCCGAACGTACGTGTGTAGGAGCACTCGTTGCCCTGCATACACAGGGGCTTGGGAAGGTATTTTAGGGTGGTATGGTCAGTCATCTGAAGTACAGTTTACTCGTGGGAGAGGGATGGCGGAGCCAACATTTTTGGAAATTTAGAGTCCAGATCAGTGTATTTTATTGATTCACGGGGTACCTGGGGCAAAAAGTGGTACTGTCAATACCGTAGTGACCGTACCGTGTCCGACGCCCCTGATACACACATTCTCTATGACTGCTCATTGGCCTGCATACAAGCATTGAACTCTTACACTGCACTCACTGGATACGATGCATTGATATTTTCTCTTTCTTTGAGTTGAGACTGACGCTCATCTGCTCCTGCGTGTGTGTGTGTGTGTGTGTGTGTGTGTGTGTGTGTTTAGATCACCGGCGTTACGCTAAATGCTGTCAAGACCCTGCAGACTAACTTGTACATTGAACCCTACAGTGGCAATTTGGCCGAGTAAGTGTGTCTTGTCCTATGCAGATGTGGTATGAATTTTATATACATTCTATTCCATAATTCGCATGCGCCCTTACCACCCATTTTTCCTTTGGATATTGAGTACCTCGGCTACGAAATACTAGTTTTAACGTAGGGCTGAAACAATTATACCGATAACTCGCATATCTAAACAATCGACGAGGAGACAATAGTCGTAAAATGGCAATAAATAAGATAAATTGTGCACTCATAACAACAGCAAAAATGAAGAAAGTCAAGTTCCATAACGTTTTCTTGTGACTGTCATCAGTGGAACGCCGTCACATAAAAATGTAATAACTAAAACACACACTTATATACATGTAGCTAATAATAGTTTCAGGTAGAAATACAGCAGCTAACAAGTACAAAAAGCGAAGTTTGCACCTTTGCAATGTGTGAATATAGTGTATGTGAGAAAGGTAAAGAGGAAGTCTGCAGTGTACAAGCATTTGGTGTCCAGTCCAGAATGTCGTAAGGTGTTTGACGATTCCTGGTTTAGTGTTATTCGTTGCGCACGTTTCTTCAAGCAATTGCAGGTGTTGGAAGCTGTGTATATTCTTACTCGTGACCCTGTGCTATGTGAACAGAAAGAAAACGTATCACTCACACTCTTCAAGTAATACACACGCACCATTACATTCATTCACACAGTATCACATTCATCTGCCACTACCTTTCTCACATACACTATATTCACACATTGCAAAGGTGCAAACTTCGCTTTTTGTACTTGTTAGCTGCTGTATTTCTACCTGAAACCATATTAGCTACATGTATATAAGTGTGTGTTTTAGTTATTACATTTTTATGTGACGGCGTTCCACTGATGACAGTCACAAGAAAACGTTATGGAACTTGACTTTCTTCATTTTTGCTGTTGTTATGAGTGCACAATTTATCTTATTTATTGCCATTTTAACTCGCATATCGATCGTTTTAAAAGAGTGCAGTCGATAATCGTTACAGTAGTGTTCAAAACGAGTGCTAACGATTTTTCATGCATGCATATCAGTGACAGTATTCTAGACCTTGCACTCCATCCGGTAGTGAACACGAGTACTTCAAGTACAGTCATGTACTTTCAAGTGCAGTAAAATTGAGTTGTGGCTTTGAAAGAGATCGGTAGTGAAGACTTTGTCTTTTTGGTTCATTTGCGGGCATGGCCGGCGATAAGAGCAGTTGCCAGAGGGTGATGACAAGATTCTTCGCTCCAGAAACAACATGACATTTTCTAGTTCATGTTGATAAAACCAGCCAGATGTCTACAGCTGTCAACAGTGCGGTCCGGAGCCACAAATTTCTAAAGTAGCGAAGTTATCGTGGTATTTCTTCATAAACTGGTGTTTGAGGTACTGTAAAACCGGAAAGTTTAACGACCGAAAGTTTAACGTTTTGTAATTTTGGCATGATAACGTGCAGAAAGTTCAACGATGGCTACCTAGCCACCGAGAACGTGCATCGATGTATGCGCATCTTTACACAGACATCTCGAACTGGGTTCGGAATAACGTTTCTTCAAATAACGAAAAAAATTGGTCGTTAAAACATTGTGACTCGTTAAGCGGGATTCACAGAAGCTTTTTTGCGATGTGATGGGTGATGCGACGCGATTTGCGACGGAGGCGTGCGATGTGAACTCGCGAAATACCATTCACAGAAGAAGTCAGCGATGCGACGACGCCTTGCTGATTTGGCGCGAAGTTCAATGCAGGTGGGTATGTCACCTGCTGGTGACCATGGTAATCGCACCGTTTGGTACAACTTGTACAATTTTACAGGCAACTCTTGAACCTTTGTACAACTTAGCTGTAGAAAAGGTCAAAATTGTACGCCAAATCGCTTGTCGCATCGCAAAAGTTGAGCCAAGCTCAACTAACAGTTACTTCTGCAATGGCCCAGTTGCGGCAGTTGCGTGGGGTGCGAGATGGCTGCGATTTGGGGATTTCCCGGTTTCGCGGCTGTCGCATCGCAAACAAGCTTCTGTGAATCCCGCTTTAGACTTTCTGGTTTTACAGTACACGGGTAAAGCCAACAGCAATCGATAAAACCAATAAATCAATCGTTCATGATATTGGTTGATCGTTAGGAGTTATTGAATGATCGTTTCAGCCCTATTTTGACGCCACTTGTATGCACGTTGTTCTGAAGGTGTACTGTATATCAAGTGTACAGTCAACTTCGCTAATAACGACTGCGGATATAACGACAATTCGCGAATAACGACATAATATTCATGCTCAGAGCAAAGTCCCATCCAATTGTGACACGTGTGATGAGACTTCGGGTATAACGACACTTCGCGAATAAGGACACTTTTCTGATGCCCCGTCAAGTGTCGTTATAAGCGAAGTTGACTGTATGTTATGCTCTGGCCAATACCGTCCTCTCCCACACAAAAAATGATCTCCTACGCCGGCTTTTGGTCAATCTGTGTGTGTGGGTGTGTGTGTGGGTGTGTGTATTTTAATTGGTATTTGCAATCTTGTTACATACTACAGGCACTTTGGCATTGAAAATATCCGCCATACTTACTTCCCTGTATTCTGGATACAAGAAGTAAGCGAGCTGTTACTGCTGTTACTGCTGCCGCCGCTGCTGCTGCTGCTGTTACTGTTACTGCTGCTGTTACTGCTGCTGTTAGCTGCTGTTACTGCTGCTGTTGCTACTATTGTATCTGCTAGTGTGTTTGTCCGCCATGTCTGCTGCCATATCTTGCTTGCTTGTTTGTTTGTGTGTAGGCACCTTACCTGTTAAAATTGTGTTTGTGTCTCCACTTTTTGCAACAGTGTGCAACTATCTTGCCTGGAGATGCCGCCAAGCTGCACAAGTCTGTCATCCTACCATACAGGATAGTTACCTCCAAGTACATGTATTTTGCTATCGGTGGTGGAGGTGAGCCTTGTTCATATTCCAACTGTGCATGACTGTGCATGACTGTGCATGCTAGCGATTCTTGCAAGTAGTATTTTGGTGTGATGGTGGATTTCCAACTGCATGTGCTAAGGCCACATCAAACAAAGAAAGAAGTGTGTTTCAGGTTTATACCGTACCCTTTCTATGGTTGTAGGCGATGAGCCACTCTCCCCGCTGTGAGCCGATAAAGCCTGCCTAGGAAAACACGGTAGCAATAAAGCCCGTCGTCATTGACACCCGCACTATATCAGCCAATCACTGAAGACGACCCGAGTGCGAATCTATCTCGGCATCTCGACAGGGTGTGTGGCAGCTCAGTTCACATCTCACTGTCGGCTGTGAACATGTAGCTCTATGTTACCATCTACTGACACTAGAAAGAGTTGTTCTGCTGAGCTCAAACATTATCATTGAATGCACAAGAAATGCACACGGAACTATTCATCACAACGGTGTTTTTGTTGTGTTTTTTTTTTTACATCGGAAGCTCAACAGTGCAGCTGCACAAATATAAAGAGGCCGATGGGACCAATAAGAAAAAATATAAATGTTTAGAAAAAAGGCGGATGAGTGGTGAACATACTAACAAGTAAAGAGAAAAGAAGAGAAATGTATGCTGAACCTGGGCAATAAATAGCTGGTGAGGGGCTAAACATTCCCAATGTTGTCAAACAAAATTGCACGATATCGTTCAAAACAAACTGGATCATCCATAATAAACGCTTAAAACCACGATCAAACTGAGAGATAAACAAAGAGCATTTCAAGTGTTGAACTAGGAGTGAAGAGGAAATTGGGTTACTTTGCCATGAAGTATCAATGTTGTCCGGAAAAGAGGTGCCCAGGTAGGTGGACCGGTAGACAGCATTTGCATTCAATGAAGTTATCAGCCACACTGAGCAGTTGCTTCCGCGGCTGACGTGTGACTGCTGTCCGCTGGGTAGCAGCAGCACAGACGTACATGCTGGCAGAATGACCTTGAACTTCTTCTGGAGGTCCTGATCCGCCATGGCCTCTCTCCTCTTTAGTGGCAGCATACCTATGGCTGCTTGTCTGCACAGGAATAGTATGCAAGCTGCACATGGTCAATGCATGCCAATAGCAGAGATGTGAATAAGATGTTGTGGAGTGCATGGCCATGGGCAGCAGCTGTGCAGACCCGGAATAGAAAGGTACATCTTTCTTCATCCTATCGAGGTCGTCCAGCTGTTCTTGTGCAAGAGCATGCTTCACGTACGCGCCTAATAGCAAAGATGCTGCCCAGTGAACATGCTCGGAGGACCAGCCAGGGCTTGTTTCTCTGCCCTTGCAATGAGTGATGGGCATGAGTGATGGGCAATGTTGCTGTTAGTCAGGCTACTGACAGTACTGTAAGCAACAGTACATGAAACTCTTTAGAACACATCGAAACGTACGGGTGGGTGGCCGACACCCAAAGCACTATTAATTTTTATGTGGCCTAGCCGCCTAAGTGTTGAACACATCCATTGGGGACCAAAACCCTCCATTGCTCCTGAGATCTTTTCCCCTACACAGGTGTTGTTGTTGTTGTTGTTGTTGTTGTTGTTGTTGTTGTTATAAATTCACAAACGTTGTTGCTGCTATCACCTGATCGGTATTGTCATGTGTCCCAATGACCATGTGCTACCATGTGTAGGCCTTCTAATCTTCATCAGCACAATGTTGATAGTGAGTGGATTGCGACGCTATTGTCGCAGTGAAAGTGGAGAGCACCAGCCACTGGTCAATTTCTCCGATGACGATGAGGATGCACGATGATAATTATAGTTGGGAAGATCACAGAGATGATACAACTTCTCTTCAATGTCAACACAACTGCTGTAGTCACAACTGCTGTATTCAGTAGTTGTTTACTAGTCCCCAATGTACCAGTACCACTCTCTGTGTGTATTGTTAGACATGCTGAAGATTACTGTTCGTACTATGCTGGTGCACATGCACTGCACAGCGTCAGCAACAGACGGCCAGCAGGCCAGCAGATATCCACATGTTACTGACAGTGCTGCTGCTGCTTCACTGTAAGGTCAGTAGACAATAGCTGTCACCATGGGACAGCAGAGAATATTTATTTGCCTTGAGTCAGATTTTCGCGCTGGCCGCTTGCTTTTGCTCCATCGCCAGCATACAGATACTTAGAGTGCGGGCTGTCCTGAACGCATTAGTTTATTTTACGTCGAATATGGTCTCGCTGTCTGGGACTGAGAGATACTCTATGATGACAGCGCCGTTCCTGCTGCTGCTGCTGCGGCATGGTATCGATGCACCTACAGATATGGTAGGCCTTCCATTAAATACATCGGTGCCATTGTTGCTGATGATGACGATGAGACTAGTGACATTGGCCTCTGTTTGTGTGCGCTAATGCCGATGCTCTTTCTGTACTTACCTACTTACTCAGCTTAACTTCCTAGCTCTTCGTTTACTAATAATAAAGTCTAGACCAATTCGTTCTGTACTACAGAGCGTATTCCACTTAGAAGCACCCGGGGTGTGCCATCGTTCACATTCAAGTGACATATCTCTATCATCATCTTGTGCTATGCAGCTGCTCTTGTCTTGGCTCTAACTTCCTAGTTTTTCAGCTCTGTAGGTATTATTTAAAATACTGTTGGGTTCATCTGGATACTTCTGAGGCTTGTTTCATCGAGCACCACTGCGCTGCTGCTGCTGGCTTTATTCTAAATGCCTTGCACACTGACAGCATCCACAGCACAGATCTGTTGCCTTATTTTTCACTTTGATAGATTTTTTAATACTCTCGCAGCCCTTTGTCCTTGTTCTAACTTCTTACCATGGCGGCTGTAGTGGATCAAGTCTTCAAAAGTCCATAACACCCCCCCCCCCCCCCCTGGACTCTTGATGTAATCAGTTAAGATCATGATGACAGCATGCTTGGCCATGGGTATGTATGGTGAACCAGAGACGACCCCCACCCCCCCCCCCCCCCCCACCCACCCACTGGCACCCAGCCATGACCTACACACATATTGACATAATGCCTGCAGGAGTGCATGGGGCCCATCCAGGCCTTTGATGGATGAAGAAACTGGAGTGGCACAGCCCTATCTTGTATACACATCAACCAGGCAGGGTCATTCCACTTGGACTTGGAGGTGATGTGAGTATAGTAGGGATGGTCCACACCACCATGTACCAGTATTGCGTGTACAGTGTAAGGTATGCATCACATGGCCTATGCAGTCCAGACTCCCTCATATGCTGGACCGGGGCTTGTTCATCTGCTGGACCAGGAACGGTTGGGATGGTGAGGCACTGCCACAGTACATTACAACACTGGTCATGCCATGCACTACATGGAGTCCTGCAAAGAAAGTCGTGTAACACTGAGCCACTCATCTACCACCACCGCTGCACCCTGCGTCGAAGTCTTTGAGCATATGAAGCTTCTTTTGAAGCAATTGTATTACATATCACCTGACAGAAGAAGTAAGGGCCCAGCCCAGTGTATGCTAGACAGCCCAGTGTATGCTAGACAGGTAACAGCCATCAGGTTATTATAACCTACTTCACACAGCTTACTCGTATACACATTATACAGCGGTCGCTTCAGTGAAAATAAAAATTAATAATGGTAGCAGTCCAAACACATTGCTTATGCAGTGGCATGTGCAACGCATCTTGCCAGGGTTCAAGCAGAAAATCGGCAGACCAAGCTGCGTTCAAGAAAGAGTCCAATTTCTTGGTATTGATAGATACCAGCGTTCTGTGGAGAATCAGAATAGTGATGAACAGAGAGCCATACAGGCCTGATGATGGCCGTCGTCGTCACTGCAGTAGTTCAAATACAAACTTGTCAAATGGGATTCTTTCTGGCTAGGACTAGTTGGCTACGGCTTGCATGTATTCAGTAAATCTTGGCTTATAGATAGGATATTGTGGCTGAAAAACTCACTCCACAAGTCACAAGTCATAAAATAGTTTAGATCGAAACAGGGACTCAAGTTATGGGCAGTATGTACTGCAGTACCCACAGCATAATCATAAGTTATGAACATACCTCCAACATGCTACTGTTTGCCTGACTTCCAGCAAGTGCAGTGAACAAATAGCAAAATGTGTTGTGCTGATTGTCTCCAGTGGGTAGAGTTGACCAGGACAGCACACAATCTCTTTCACTGCATAGGACAGTCTGCTCTCAAGAATTTCAATACAGACATGCCGGGTATCTGCCTATGCACTGAACAGTGAACACCTTACCAGTTACAGCAGCAGCAGCAGCAGCAGCAGCAGCAGCAGCAGCAGCAGCAGCAGTGCCGACAGCAGCGACAGCACGGCAGCAGGATGTGCTGACAAATCGTTGGCATCCACAGCTGCGGCATCAGTACATGAGCACCGCATTAATTCCAGGTTGCATGAGTGGCTCATGCTGAGAATACCGTGCAGATCATTGGCTTGTCGTGAAGTTGTCACACCGCTACATGGACTTTGACCATATAGCATTCGTGCGATGGGGATTGTTCAATTCTGCCAGGCCCGCCTGTGCATGCATGTCTGACTTCATCCATGAACAATGACATGAGGATATGTGGTACGTCAGGAACCTAGCTAGAAGTCTGGTCCAAATCAGCTTGTGATCTCCCAGCCTTCATCAATGCAGCAATGCAGATGCGAAACATGAGGAACAGTCGTTTGCCTGGCACTATCCGCATGCTACTATCATTGGACGTCTGGGTTTGTTGAGTCTGGGTGCAGGTGAAGGTGGACCCCAGTGATGGTGTTACATCATACCGTACATGTCCTCCGTGCAGCGACAGAACACACTGATGCATATAGCCGGCTGCGGTTCAGCGAAGGCTCTTGCGAAAGCCTTTCTTCTTGATGGAATGCTGTGATCCACCCGATATTAACTTGCGTGGACTCTGTCCACCGGGATCAGTAGAGAAGGATGATGACAATGACATCATTGACTCTGCTGGCGACAGATTGGCAGTCGACGATGAGTAGGGGGCGAACAGTGGATAACTAGACAAAGGCAGTAGAGAAAGAGAGATAGATGGATAAATAGATAGAGAGATAGATAGATAGATAGATAGATAGATAGAGAGAGAGAGAGAGAGAGAGAGAGAGAGAGAGAGAGAGAGAGAGAGAGAGAGAGAAGGAGAGAAAAGAGAGAGAAGAACTTCGAAGTGTACACGGAGAGCAAGTACTACTTGTGCGCGCACCAACCATGATAGTACACGCACTTCTTCGAAGTATTTGCGTGACCTTTGGACAGTTTCTGAAATGACTGTGTAGTTACCATGGTTACAGTGTACAGTACTGTGCAGTTTCAACGTGTTCTGCGAGTGGTGCACGCTGTACTGACAATCTGTCCACAGCGCTGCATGCACTCTGCACTGCAGTTTGAACATATGGCCTCATGGACATGGACATGACTGTAGTCATGATCCAGGATACCCAGACATTTTCTCCCCAGGTTTAGACAAATCCCAGGGAGTGACCCGGTCCGGTGACAACCGTATCAACCGGACCGGGTCCGTCCGGTGGCCCTGTTTGACTTACCAGGCATGGCTACCAGTGCGTAGGTCAAGGAGTGACAAGTCCACCAGCACCTCGCCTTGCATAACGTTACGACCAAGAACACCATGATCCTCCCAAACCATGACCTGCGACAAGCACACACATCTCTTGTCAACATGGCTCACAAACAAGTGTAAACACGTGGAGGTCCTATCAGGATCAGTATTTTGATGTATGCCATGACTCGGCATGAGCTACACTGGATTACATGTACTTCGTTTGCAAAATTGCTTCACATTGGTCCTCAAAATCAATGGTTCTTAGATTTAATAAAATCCAAGAATTTGTCCTCCTCACTGCCACCCAATAGCTTCTTTTCCATATAAGTCATACGTCACTGTTTATTGTTTCAAGTCATACGTCCAAAGTACATGCATGTACTTTGGACGTACGACTTGAAACAATAAACAATGATCATGGACTACAGTGCAGTATCAGCATGTTGGCTGGCAATATTGTCAGGAGAAGCGAGCACCACACATGGTCCTAGAGGGCTACTGGCACCACAACCATCCCATATGGTGCAGTGGTATGTGCAGCGATTTCCAATCGATAGGTTGCGGGTTCGATTCCCGACGATTATGGTCACACACGTCTTTCTTCTCTTTCTCAGACTCTTCCTGACTTTTCTTTCATTCTCCTGGGTGGTTACCAACAGCCAGTGTATGCCGGAGTATGTGGTGTGGTGTGTGTGTAGAAAAAAAAGAAAAAAAGAAAAAATGGAAAAATGGAAAAATGAAAAATAAGGATTCACTGGCCAGAAAAAGTCACTTCAAACAGCTGTGTGGTGGATACCAGGCTACAAATAGTGGCGGTCAATTCATCAGCCTTGCAAGCTGTTGAATGGTGTAATCCCAGCACAAGTTGCTATGTCTAACATAGCTGTTCGCTATCATCGCTCCCGCGATGGGCATGTCTGAGGTCTGAGGTGTATGTGTGCGTGCGTGCGTGCGTGCGTGGGTGTGTGTGTGTGTGTGTGTGTGTGCGTGCGTGTGTGTATATGTGTGTATAGTGGCGGTCAATTCTTCAGCCTTGCAAGCTGTTGAATGGTGCAATCCCAGCACAAGCTGCTATGGCTTCTGCTGTAGCATCGCTATCATCGCCTCCGGCGATGGGCGTCCAATGGTCCAATGGTGTGTATGTGCATATTATTGGGGTTGCCATCAATTGATAGGGTTTACTGTGCATGTCCTACCTTCATTATTTTATCTAGTCCTTGGGAGCGGAACATGAGGACCTCGTCAAAAATCACATTGTCACGACCCTGCCGACCCTTTGTCTTGCGTTTGTGAACTTTAGTGCCATCGTCACTTTGCAGGTATGCCTTCACATAGATGCCTATTTCACACGCACACATGCACAACACACACACACACACACACACACACACACACACACACACACACACACACACACACACACACACACACACACAGGCAAAACGAGTTATGAAGCAACTATCCATGACTAACAAGATAAACAAGTAAAATATTTTATTTTAATCCGAACCCGTTCTTCATGTGTAACATATATTTCCGCTGTTATTCCTCGGCTAGAGATCACCACCCGTAGATCTACGCACACTATGCCACGCGAGTAAAGCCTCTCCAAGCTGCTCGATCCTGAACCATTGTGGAGAGTTCGTCAAGATGGCGCTGAGTAGATGTGCCTGGCGCATTCCTGCGCGACGCGTCACTGTGCAGAACACCTGGCAGTGTGGTTGGAGGGTCGCCCTCTCCTTCAGTGCTGCTGTGCATTTCGTCTGGTGCCGGTATTGTTTTCGGATTTCATCCAACACACGTGTTCTCGCCAGCACCAGGCAAACGCTTGGTGCCACAGACGCTACACGGTCTTCATAGTGATTCATATTCATATAATGTAGGGACACTTGATACGAATATACCGGTATCTAACCCAGACCCTTACCCTAAATTACAAAGCAGCGGTGGTAGCAGCAGTAATGGCGGCAGCGGCACCGTTAGGCATTGATCAGTAACACGTTGTCGTTAAGACTCACTTGGTCTGAAGTCTGGTGCTGATCTGTAGATGAGATTTGCCACTGAGCGCACTTCCAACAGCACCATTGCATTACTACTGACGCCGCGTGCACTCAGACCAAGCTCAATGTCACCGAATGTTGGTCCGTTGAACAGATGTGTTTCCACTATCTGCCCGGCCCCATACATTGGTGTCACATTTCCCATAGATCTGCAATGGCACATGTTGTCAATAGAAGGAGAAAGAACAAACAAGGGCAAAAAGAAATAGAGAGTTGATGAGTGAGTGAGAGAGAGAGAGAGAGAGAGAGAGAGAGATAGAGAGAGAGAGAGAGGAGCAAGAAGATGACGTGCCGTTTTTCCTGATTCGCAACCACCGTGGATCAATGCGTACGAGCTCGTACTTGAAATGCACAAAAATGTCACATGAAGCGACAAGTACTTACTGCAGGACTGCATTTTAAGAGGCACGCTACATGTAGTACCAAGAGTCCATAAACAAGAGTATGCAACTGTGACCTCTTTTCTATGGGCCAGATGCGCGGCACGCTGCCTTCATTACATCATTCAGCTGCAGTCCGCGCACCACGGAAAATCAAACACCGCACTTTCCCTCTGGTTTGAAATGAACTTTCGTACGGAACTGGAGTTCACACGCCAACATTTAGAGGTCGCGTAGGTATTGGAATGAATCGAGCAAAAACGGATGGGCTCGTACGAGAAGTTGTGGGTTTGAGTGCATGCTTTCAGAGCGTGATGAAGGCAAGTTACGTAATGAGGCAGCGCGCCGCGCACTGACCCATAACCACAGTTGCATACTCTTGTTTATGCACTCTTGGTAGTAGAGTAGAACTGTGATAAGACAGACCACCGCTAGGGGAGTAGAAAACTTAGTACTTTGAAGTACTTACTATACGAGGTACTTCTTATCCAAAGTTGAATCCTGCGGCCCCACCAATATGCAATACATGTGTAGCGTGTCAAAATGCTCGAAATCATTTATTGTACTCAGAAACACACGTCACAGTGCTAGTAGAAGTGTCACCAAACCAGGTCACTGCTGCATAAATCCTCCTCCGCACTGTCAACGCACTAAAGTACCTGCCATGTGGTGCTATATTATAGAGATAGATTTATAGTCCACCAGGCCAGCTCTACCAGGACGTGCTGAAAAGTCCATCATGGGGCTCCATGTAGCTTCTGTCACTCTCTCGGGCTCGCTTGACCCTGACTTGCAGCGGGTTCTCGCTCTCTCGCTCTCGCTCTCAATCTCCCTCCCTCCCTCCCTCCCTCCCTCCCTCCCTCCCTCCCTCCCTCCCTCCCTCCCTCCCTCCCTCCCTCCCTCTCTCTCTCTCTCTCTCTCTCTCTCTCTCTCTCTCTCTCTCTCTCTCTCTCTCTCTCTCTCTCTCTCTCTCTCTCTCTCTCTCTCTCTCTCTCTCTCTCTCTCTCTCTCTCTCTCTCTCTCTCTCTGGTGAGAAAGGAGCCTCAAGCTGGCTTACCTACAGGCCCATCCGACGTCACAGCCTAGTCCTGTCGAAGAGTGAGTTTCGTGATGGCGTCCACCTACGCTGCAACTGGCTGCCTCTGCACTTGCCATCGCTGTGCCCCCCCCCCCCTCTCTCTGTGCCCCCTCCCTCCTCTCTGTGCCCCTCCCTCCTCTCTGTGCCCCCCCCTCTCTGTGCCCCCCCCCTCTGTGCCTGTACCTGTGCCCCCCCCCTCTCTGTACCTGTTCCTGTGCCCCCCCTCCCCCTTTTCTGTATGCCATGCCCTGTCGTGCTTGACTGACGACTGTCCATCTATTTGGCCTACTAGACTGAGGTATAGGAAAACGGGTACGTACTAAGTGAGTTCCACTGTACTCAGGGAACTTCACATAGAATGCAGTTAGGAGATGCAGACCTACCTCTCGGACACAGCATCATAGTCACCCGATGCCAAAGGGCCAGGACCATCACTATCAATCCTCCATCTTCCTTCACTTTCCATCTTTGGTGTACCTGAACAACAATCAACATGAATAGCACAGTTCACACACTGAGTTTGCAACCTGCCCAGTTGGGGCCTCCTGCTGGCGTTTAGTATTATGTTCTTTGTGTCAAACAAACGGCTACACATATCAGAAAGCACAATGGCAACAACGACGACGATGACGACGACGCCAACAACGACGACGACGACGACGACAACAACAACAACAACAACAACGGCAGCGGCATCAGCATTGCCAATAGAGCACTGTGGACAGAATAATGAGGTTTGTCCGAGTATAAATCTGAGCTGTGGGATGGAATGGGTACAGTTGCAAGCAACAGTACATGTACTGCTTCTGTTAGATCCGTAAAGCACACATCCGAGTTCGTACAGCAAACCAGTGTGTATGGGTGAATGACGATGGCAATGTCGACAGCGTCACCCATTCCAGCTTTACTTCAAGCGTCAAATCAAAGAAGTCAAATGGTGCACATACTATCAACCTTATAGTAAAGAAAAAAGGACCAACCATGAATTTTAGTATTGCCCCGGATTGTAACCATGGAAACTACTAACTAACCAACCTGCAGGTTCTGGTTCTTTCTTCGATGGCATTTTCTTGAATTCTGAAGCAAATTGTTCAAGCTCTGTCAATGGCTCCTGTTCTTCCTCCGTCTCTGCACGTTTACACTCCTATTGAATACATTCACATGGTCAACAACAGTGAGTGGCACGAAGAGCAGCGGCATCAGTAGAAACAGTATTGAAATATCAGTGTGATGACTCATATCAAACACTCTACTATTCAGCAGTCGGACCGCCGGAAGCAGTTTTGATTGGTCCGGTAGTATTGTGGCCTTTCATGCTTTGTGTACGGATGTGCCGGTGGATACACATGCCCCTCCTCAGTAGTACACACGTGTTGGTGGCCAAAAATGCTGATCGGGTGATAACCTGACCAACCGGACCGGTTCCGGCGGGCCTGATCAGCCTTCCATCAGATCAAGACTGCATCACCTTGGTGACTTAGTTACCATGGTTACATGTTAA